TCAATGCCTCATCAAATGTCAACAAAGAAGGCATCAGTTTGGCTGTCTTTCTCGAGGGTTTGACCATTACTGCAAATTACAATCAATTAGCAATTGATATCTAATAGTGAGCATACAGTACCTTTCCAATAATGCTATCAAATGGCACAGTGTACTATCGATAACACTGTATTTATTCGTGCTGGACATTTGCTGTCCTGCACGCCTTGCTATACGCACTCTTGGCTGGTTAGACCACTCTTTGTATTGCAGGCTGTCTAATCACTGCCTTCTTGCTCTCTGCCTGCTCCCCAAGTCTGCCCGGTTGAAAAATGAGGCACATTTCCCTGATACCCTGTGTGGAAGTGGAGAGTGTAAATGGCTAATGAATTACAGATGAACATTGACGCAAATTAATCTTCCTGATGTCCCAGGGTTATATGGCAGCTATTTAAAAGTGGAATCAATACGGCGAAGTTGAGAACATGCAGGCTCTGCAGTTGTTGGGCCGCAGTAAACAGCCGGGAGGAAAACAAGGAAGGCCTGTGCTCAGGGCATGCATCATAATGACAGCCATTTATGTTTAATGGAATAAATATATTTTATTTGGAGAGAACAGATGTGACTGTAATTTTCTAAGTTATAGGGAGGGGTTCAGTTTGAGACCCCGGAGAGACAGGTGACCCCCTCTGGCATAGAATAGTTAACCGATTTCTGGACTCTATGAGTACATAGGGATGGATTTAGTTTCAAATTGTCGTATTAAGCCCTTGTTTCTTTTGTGAGATGTGTCTCTTAAAAATGTATATTAAATGGTTCTCGTCTTTGTGCCATGAATACGTTTTACTTCAGAGAGTTTCCCCTTGGCTCTATTGCGTTCGGTATTTGGTCCTAACATCTCCTTCACTCACTCTCAAATTACACCACCGAATCAAAACATCTAAACATCATTCTTCCAAAACAAAAGCATACCTTTCAAAGTAAAAATGTCCATTACATGTAAAACACAATAACGTGAAGGCAAATTACCTTCACATTAGTTTTAAATCGGGAAAAACAACTGATAGAAAACAGTTCCAAACAATCGTGCAACAGATGCTTTTTGGGCTGACAGATAAACAGATTGGTTAGTTTCATATTCTTACACACAGTAACATACATAACGCATCTCATCACTACCCGAAACAATTTAACCTTCTCCACGTGTTGTGTGTGCCAGCTGGCCTATCAGTGGGCTGAGTCACCCTGACTGTTGATCTATGGGACTCGGGGGGGTTATCTATCTGCAGGGCTCCCTATAGAGAGGAGGTGGCGACTCCATCTTATGACGTTGGGCTGAACTGATAAAAGGACAGCCGGAGATGGATCGTGTCCACAATAATAGCCCTGGCTCACAGCAGCCTACGCCCCGAGCTCATAAGTCACTCGCGCACCAAGTCTTATGGATGCTTGCCCCCGGCTCCATCTGACCCCATCCCCCAACTGCCGGCAGTGTTATTTCAGCCCTCGGAGATAATACAGAAAGTGTAATTGACTTGTTAATTGGCTTTTTTTTCCCCCCTCATTGCATTTTTTCCCTGATGGATGGAAGCGCTGATGGAATTGTCGGCTAAGTGGTCAAGTGGGACAGTTTGGCGGAGGAGGCAAAAATCAGCAAGTCAGAGAGCGTAAAAAAAAAAGAAAAAAGGGGAATCAGACAGACAGCAAATAAGAGAGCAAAGCGGGTAGAAAAAGACAGAGTGGAAGCAGTTGAAAGGCGAGGCTAGATATGAAAGTACAAGATACCGGCAGTGGAGGGAGCGGATTCATGCTGAAAATAGATAACCTTGATGTTAAAAGCTACATCCGTCGGATGTGTCTTTCTGTGACATATTGATGGCCCTTGAAAAGAGTCAAGCTGATTTTATGCAGGGAACAATCATTAAACCCCACTCCATCTCCCTCCTCTCACTCCCTTGTAAGTGTGTGTGTGTGTGTGTGTGTGTGTGTGTGTGTGTGTGTGTGTGTGTGTGTGTGTGTGTGTGTGTGTGTGTGTGTGTGTGTGTGTGTGTGTGTGTGTGTGTTTGTGTGTGTGTAGGTAAATGTGTGTGTGTGCTGATTTAGTGCGGAGTTTCGAAGCAGACTTTGTGATTTATTCGGCTAGGAATCCTGAGCAGAAGCCCTTGTTTTAGTGCTTGGCTTCAATTTTAAGGAATAACCTTTAAGAAAAAAGCTGCATTCTTGTTCCAAGTGGCGCAGTACATACACGTGAAAACTAAAACTTTTGTTACCATATGTGTTGATTCGATGTTTGAGCGCTGCGGAGGCTTGGTACAGCTGGCTTACTCACACTGTGGCAGAATGGCCCATCCAGCCCCCGCGGAGAGGACACATGCTTTGGGTAATCAGCTCTGAAAAGACTCCACTGCCTGAGTATGAACCAACACTGCAACGCTCCCCGTGAGGAAGATACAAGATATGGACGCCACGGCCTTTTAATAAAGACAACAGGGTCAGCTGCTCCCCTTAAAAGCAACACGGCGCCGCGTGACATATGCAGAGCAGAGGCCCGGTTGTTCCTCCGCCGGGGCTTGATGGAAACAGTGGCCTCTACAGCACTTTGTTAAGCTGTCATTTTAATGGCCGCTCCCACTGTTCTCACTGTGTGCAGGGTTTTTTTGTGTGCATGACATTTAAATGTGTATGGGTTTGCAATGTTTGCGTGTGTGTGTGTGTGTGTGTGTGTGTGTGTGTGTGTGTGTGTGTGTGTGTCGAGAATGTGTGGCCGTTGATTCAAGTTTGCTCATCCATGGCTTGGGATGCAGAGAGCATATTGCGACCACTGGGTTCGGCACAGTACCGCTCGTTGTTAAGTATCCGATAATCAGGAGAAATCCCCCACAAGGGCCAGCGCGGCGGCCCGAGAGGAGTGCGGCTTGGCTTAGTTATTCCCTTCCGTGTCCCCAACCAGCCGATCTTTCTCTGGTTGCTGGCGTAATAAGAGCAAGCGCTCACTGTGATGGGGGGAAACGCAGCGAACTGCAATGTGTCTCTGCACAAAACACGCGGCTTAATGGTGGTGGCTGCGAAAAAACATCCAGAGCTCGCACGGAAATTTAAGAAACACTTTTATGAGGCACTTTTTTCACCCACTGGGAAACCGACCCGGTCCCTGTTTTTCGCCCGTTTCCTTTCATTTACCCTTCCGTGTCTCGTTTGATCACAGTTATGGCTTCTTGTATAAAAGAGCTGCTGGAGAGTCACAGGTCAACACACACACACCGCACAGAGCTTTCCGATTGGTGCCGGAGATTCTCGGAACGCGTTCCCCCCGATCCTCCTCCTCAGTCCCCGCAGGCTAGTGACGAGCGCAGCCGAGTGTGAAGACTCGAGGGCCCTGTGGCTGTAGTTCCTTCATCTGTGAAGGTTATCTCTGCAAGGCTTTGGTTGCAACTTACAAATACATGCCCTGTAGGTAACGTCTTATAGGGAGTCTTGGTTCTGGTACCTCGGTGGGTAATCTCTTTAAGGACCCCGGCTCCTGGAGAGCCGGCTTCTCGCCGGGTAAGCTGTGACGCCCATGTGATCATAGCGCTGCGCGACACCCCGCCGCCCCCCGCCCCCCCACCTCCGAGTCCCGCGGTGTCGAGCACACACTCCAGCCGCGGCACCTACATCCCGGGGCAAATCACGGCAGCTGGAGTTCACCCCCCCCCCCCCCACCTCCATAAACCTCCTCACTGTCACATATATGTATACCCCTCGCACACCGGGGGAGCAGGCAGGCATGGAACTGGTCCCGGATTTTATCTGAGGTGACAGCTCCTCACACTTGAGTGTTTGGATCACCTCAAGTATCTGGGCTACGAGGGGAAATGAGCACTGCTCCACTACAAAGTCCAGATTTAGATTGACTGAGCTTGTCCTGGGGCCTGTGGGCTGCTGCTGCCGCACCGCTGCTCCGCCTGACAGAACACCCACTTCTGCTGCGAGGGACTGGTGTGTGCCTGTGTGTACGTCTGCGTACTGTATAAGGGTGTGTGTGTGACTTGGTAGAGCCTTCTTTGAAGAGTCAGAGAGAGTGTGGGGGGGGGAGCGAGAGCGATGTGTCAGGTTTGGTTAGAATTGAGGGTGGCATCAGAATATGCTCGGCACTAATATGGCACCAGTATCTCTGTCCCTATCTCTGCTTTCTGTCACTTAGTTGCCATTCCCTCCCCGCCCTTGACAATGTCTCTTTGGATTATGTGATTGGACTTAGTGCTTGGAGCACCCCTCATCCCCTCCGCGACACTGCCCCTCCCATAAGTCTCTCCTTTTTTTTTTTCCGCCCTCGTCTCCGTCCCCACCCCTCCTCCTGTAATACACTTGATGTCTATTTAAAAGGCCTGGTGAAAGCTGTATCTGTTCTGCTGTCAGAGGATCATTGACAGCACTAATGCCACTTGTCCTTGGCTCATTCGGTGAGAGGTGACACCTAGACGCAGCCCGCCACATTCATCAAGTGAGCCGCGGGAGCGCTGTGGCATCCGAGTCGGTGCAGGCAACCCCCACGGAGCTCTGGGCGGCAGCAAGGAAGCTCGGCCATCTTGCATTCATGTCCTGCGCGGTGGGCATACAGTTTCTTAAATGACCTTACCGTAAATTCATCTGTTTGTACTTATACATGCAACTTTGTAGTCGCGGCTGCACCACGCAAGCTCCTCATTTATTTTTGTGTTTTATTGGCCCGCGTTGATATTTGAGTCGCTGCTTTGTGATTGGCCGGTGTGATTGTGTCGGAGAGCCTGCAACTTACTGTGCAGAAGCCACACTTGAACAAAATGTGCATTCCTCCCAGCAACACCTCTCTGCACAGGAGATGACAAACACAGTTTTGTGCTCACTGAAAGGGATCGTGTGTGTGTCCTTTAAGATCTTACAAATAAAGAAAGTGAATGCATTCAAATTTATTTGTCCTTTTTAAATTATTAATGTTTTTGTATTCATTTTTATATCTGCAAGCATGACCTTCACCTCGAGTCTCTCTCACTCTGCTTTAGGGGTCTTTGCCAAGTGTCGCTACATCTACTATGGAAAGCACTCAGAAGGCAACAGATTCATCCGCAACGACCAACTCTGATGGACGGCTGGTCAGGAAAAAAACACAGAGGGACATGAGTGACGAGGAACGATACCAGAGTGAAAGAGGACCAAATCAATCTTGGGATGCAGCCACTTGATCTCCCACTGGAAAAAAATGTTTTTAACTTCATCAAAAGAATCTGCTATGTAAGGGAAATGTTTGTTTTGCATGGTTGCGGCCTCTTCTGCTGTGCTGGGTCCGCGTCTGCCTTCCTACTTCCAGCTCCGAGTCAGAGTCAGAGACGGCACTCGCGCTGACGTGATTGCCTTCAAGCATCGGCAACCGTACAGGGCCAGGCACGCACAACGCTCACAACACACACCACACACACACGCAAGGACAGTCTCGCTCTTCTCCGTTCCCTTACACACAGTCAGTGACAAACACAACCTTCCAATTGTAGCCGTTTCTTTGACGGGCATGATGGATCACCCGTCCAGTACCGCCACTAATCAAGGGTGAAAGGGGTGATGGTCACACACACACACACACACACACACACACACACACACACACACACACACACATACACACATACACATACATACATACATACATACATACATACATACATACATACATACATACATACACACACACACACACACACACACACACACACACCTGGGGTCTGACATAGACTCATCTCCCTCATTCTCTCTCTCTCGTCTCTCACACAAGCACACGTAGTGTATACTCGCTGATTAAAACATTGAGACATTGCCAGGTTTGACAGAAAAACGTAGAAAGATGCCTGAAGCAAGCTCAGTGTATCTTGTTTAGTTTTTGGCAGACAACAAAATGCGTTTCATTCTTGTGTTTGAACGGATTTTTTCTTTGTGTCTCTGAAGACAAAAAGTCTGATGTGTTTCTCATATCTGAGTATATGTTTATCAAATGCAGCTTTTACTGTTAAAAAAAAAACATTCCAAAACTAAAGATCAGAGTTTTAACCAAGTATGCCTTTCAGGTATATTTTGTAATTTGATTTTACACTGTAGTGTTATAGTGTTTTCATGGTGTTTTGCTTTTTCCCACACCAGTTTGACCAGTTGAAATACTTATTGCTGAAGTATTATTTCATTACAGTATTTTAATCCATTGCAAACCAAGAATAATACATATTTCAAAAGAAATATTGTCTTTCTTGAAGGGTTTTTCTGTACCATCACCATGGTGTTACAGTGCATGGTGAATGTGTATGTAAAATGTGTTTATTATGACTTCACATGAGGCAACCTTACAAGGTCTTGGCATGAATGTCGTCATTTTTCTGACAGGATCTTCTGATCTTCACAACTAACAGGGTTTGTCTAACATCTGTCTTTTGCCAAATTGCACCTTTCCACCATCATTTACTATGTGATCAAATGTCCGTCACGTTCATATTTTGAGACCATTGAGTCGATTACAACCTCAAAAGTGGTTATAAAGATTTTCCCTGACTGACATCTCGGTTAAAGTCACGAGGCTCAATTAAATTGCCTGCTCCTCTTGAAGGTGAAGTAGCTGGAGATCGATAGATGTTTGCTGTACATGTATTTTGGATTTGGAAGAAGCCACGTTGCGCTTCGGTCCTACACGTCAATCACCCGCAGACCAATAAAAAAAGGTCAGCAATAGCCTCATGCATTGTTTGTTCACTATGTCTGTTTATTTCCTGTTTCTATTTGCTTTCTGAAGCTCGTATGCACGTGAAAGTCTGCGTGTTCGCTGGCCCGAGCTGGTTCACCCCTTCCTAGGGGACCGTGTGACCATATTCCAGCTGACGCGCCGCTCCGGAGCCCGGTCACTAGTGCCGGCGTTTCAAAATGACAAGGTTTATTTGTCTGTGTTTTGATATGCTCACAGGAAACCGGGGCTGACAGCCGGAGGAGGTAGCAAGAGCGGAGCCACAACAAGTCCCCCCCCCGCCCCACACACACACGCGACACAAAATGTCATCCTTCCCCTGGCTGCAGCGCGCACCCAGCCATCCTGCTGAAAAGAGCAGACATTTAAAACTTTGTGACATGTGTCACAGGCGCTGCCATTGAGCCAGTGCCGCTGACAGAGCTGGAATTGACAGGCTCCGAGCCACCGGAGCTGGCTGGGGGACACACCGAGTTTGCTGTGTGTCACTTCTCATCCTCGTCAGGGACGTATCCTGAGCTGCCACGCCAACACAAACTGCTGCTATTGGATGGGCGTGGAGTGCCGGAGCAGGTTGACATATGCTTGACGCGGGCACCTTTGTGCATGCGAGGGGATGAATGGAAGGCCTCGCAACACACAGACGGTAAATTAATTAAGGTGTAGGCCACAACTCGCTCTCTACTTGCAGGCGATGCCCCCGTTGACCCTCCGCTCAATGCTGCTCGTACGTGGGAACGGCCAGGCTGAAACAAATGGCACGCTACTTTACGGGAGGAGATCGGTGACATTCTGTTGCAGTGGCCCTGCGGGCTTCTTTACCAGCCGCCCACTACGGGTCTGTATGGACGAAGGGATACTTCTATACCTACGTGTTTTCTATGTCCATGCTTTGAGCTTATTTTCAGACTATACTATTGCAATATCTTGAAAATGAAACCCAAATGGGACATTTTGTAATTTGATTTCACATTCCAAACAAATTGTAATTGTGTTTTAAGTACACAGGACATTCCTACTGTAAATGTGAAAAGTTATGCGAAGATTTCAAAGCCAGATTTTGAGTGTAGTGTTGATGGACACGGTTGTCTTGCAATTTTATGAGGAAATCGTTAAACTACTTAAGCTACAAAAATGCAAACAATTAGTTTCTCCACAATGATACAGAAAAATGTCATATATATTACATACAGTATTTCTACTGAAATTGTAATTCATATTTGGGGTATTTTTAGATGTATTTTGCATACTGTATAATCTCTGAGCTCTAATTCATTGGTGGCGCAGCACAATTCACCTCTGCAAAAGACACACTATTGTGTGACTCACTGTCAAAGGAACTAAGGACCAATCACGCTGTCAGCGCGTATCAGCCCGCAGACCGATGACTGATTGGCATGAGCTAATGCAAATTTACAAGGAGGCACAGGGAGCAGAAAGGGACTTGTCTTTATGAGTGACAACTTGCCACTGATAGCAGAGCAGCAAACAGGAGGGGTTTGAGATTTAGATTTAACGGTCCCCCCTCCGGCTCTAGAACCCCCCCCCCCCCCCCCCCCCCCCTGACCCCCCTTTTCTTCCCCCCTCCCGTTTGAAAAAAAAAACCCTTCCCTTCCGGACCCGGAAAAATTTGGAGACATTTGGCATAAACCCACCAGTGTCTCACTTGATCGAGAGAAGCCAAAGGAGAGGGAGGTCGGAGGGGCCCTTATTTCCGGGCCGGTCTCATATGAGTAACATTCGTCATTCGGCGTTGTGGTGTAGTAATTAGCTTGTCAGCTGGCAACAGGCTGAGCTGGCTTTTTTCTGCTAAGAAAGATGGACAGACTGACACAGAAGCTGACAGCCAGTCGATAATGTGGCAATTAATGTCATAAATAATTCCACTGCCAATTATATAAAAATGGACTCTGTTCTTTCACCTTGCCCGGTACTCCCTTATCATTTCCTTTGATAAGGGGGACAACCGTCTTCATTCTCCCTATAATTATCGGGCTTTTTATATGGAAATACAAAATGGCCTCACTCTCCCCACATGTTCATATCAAAGGGGGTGACCAGGGGAAAAGGGGGAGACACGGGCAATAAATGTAACATGCTAATGAATCTGTGTTCTGTGCCCTTTACCTCGGCTATTCCAACGGGTCATATAACAAGACCTTCAGGCATTCCAAATGTCATTGGATGTACGAAAGACAAAATCTTGATAAAAATAATTCAGACAATTACGTGAGAGAGATCGATCGGAGCTGATATTCTAAAGGTTGAAAAAGCTTAACCAACAGTGAGAATATTGATCCTGACGCCGCATCATTCGGTGGGAAAAATGATGTCCAATCTCTGTCTTCAAGATGCAGGTCAATCAATCGCAGCGGATGAGAATACACGATGAGCAGGAATCAACAAGGGCTCACTGAATAGCAAATGTGCTGTATATTGAAGGAGAATAAAAGCGGAAAAGTGGAAATTTCCTTTGAAATGCTTATTATCCAGCGCCTCGGCTCATTTGTCTCGACAAGTGACTCCGTCACTGCGAATGTTCCCCATCAGCCTGACACTAAACTCTTGCTGTGAAATGTATGAGCAAATAAAGTGAGCTCAGCACATGTAAGGCCCTCCTAATGCATTGTAAAACAGCCTTAAACACATCAGATGTATCTTCGGAATGGGAAGGTCGCTCCGATGGTAATATATGGTCCGTGCTGAGAAGCCTCAAGGTCGTGTCGGATGAGCCTACATAATGCATGATTTCCCGTTCCTCTTACGGACTCCAATCATGCCTCACAAGCCTTGAGATGAAAATTTTACTAAGTAAATCAGCCACCTTGGTGGCATTTCTATTACCCCTCCGTGTGCACTGACAGAGAAGATGAATAACGCTAAATAATAACACGTGATAACAAATCATATTTACTGCTCATAGAGAGGGAAGCGGCGGTGGATGTAAAACCGCTAGCTGGGTTTTGTTATTCTTTCATCTTGCCTGTATGGATTTTACTTCAGGTTTTTTTTTCTGTTCTTTGTACTTTATGGAGATGAGCTTGTCGCTCTTCCACTTGTCACTGTCCTCTTGTTAGATTGTGTGCGTAATTATTGTGTCATTTATTGCACGAGGATTGCTTGCTTTGAATAAAGCAGTTAAATGACCCTGTTAGCATAATTAATTTAACCATCCTCAGGGGCTGCAAAGTCAGAGTCTCATGAATATTCATTATTGTCAGTGTCACTGCTAAATATTGTGCAACAACAATGCAACATGTTTGGTTTTGAAGTGAAACATGTTTGATGCAGCTTTTGAGTAAAATTGACAGTTTTATCCTGAATCACTTTCTCTAAATCTTTTTTTAATGTTTAAAAAATAACACGTTTACGTAGAAGA